TCAATACAAGCAGAAATGAACTGGATAAGAAATTGGAGACAAATACAAAATCACTGAAAGAAATACAAACCGCAATAGATATAGCTTTGAAGTCAGCAGAAATGGCTGAGGCAGCACAGTGTGCAGTGGAGGCTGAGCTTCGAAGATGGCGTCAAGAAAAAGAAGAGCCAGAAGCATAAGCTGCTTACCCGACATGCTGATAGATCTGCAGATACATCGAAACCACTTTTCCCACAAGAATCACAGTTAAATGCAGGTTTTGCCAAAAGAGAAGAAGAGATCCCTGATGGATGAAGTGGAGGAAATATCTGTCCTGTCATAGCTTTTTTTTGCTAGTACTTTGCATTTCTATGCTAAGCTGTCAAGTCTCCCAGGAAAATATATATATATATATATATATATAGAGGGAGACAGAGAGACAAATTTGTTATTGCTCAAAAACAAGCATGTATATTTCAGTAAAAGAACATTTTAAATGCTGCTAAAAACAAGATAACTCGGAAAACGTCTCTTCATGAATGATTTTTCAAAGAAAAGTAAAGAGATGTACAAGATAATGATGAACCCGGAATGCTGAGAATTCACCTTATTTGATTCCTTAATGAGCTAATATAGAAAACTCACTAACCACTTTAGAAAGATGCTTTGTTGTGCTAAGGAGCAAATCTTGACAGAAGCTCACCATATTCAGAGAACAAGCAAAAGAATAAAGAACACCACAAAAAAGATACTTGACAGGTTCGGCAAACGACAGACGTTATAGACATAAAAGATCATGCAAAGATTTTAAGGAGGGTTAAAACAGATTGCATTTAAGATTACAATTTCCACTGCATTCCTACATGTCAGGCTGGATTCAACTTCACGCTCGCTATCCAGCCAGATAACTCGAAAAACAAACACTATATTAGCAGCATTTCCCGGTAGAATTCACTCAGAGATATGTACTGCTACTACATATATTTATATTGTATAACAGGAAATTGTACAGCTAACGGAAACCTTGTTCCTTACCTACGAGCTATAACATTGCTATCAGCGACTAAAGGTTAAGATTCCGCACAGAAAGTTACTGAAAACGCCAGAGTTCTATAGCTTCAGTCATCACTAATTCTCAGAGAGTCAAGAGGTTTGGACAGGCAATTTTGATTCTCAAACTTATGTAACTCGGATTCTATTGTTTTTGCTATCTCTGTTCCTTCAGCAGCTGGCTCAGGGAAATCAACATGGAAAGACCCCTGTTTGACTGGTGCAACAGGTTCACTTGTCATAGATTGCTGTTTAATGTAATTGTAGAGCTGCTGATGAAAAGGATGGTCCAACGAGAAGCAATTGTTGTCCTCCGAGTGACGAGATGAACCAGAACCCTCTCTTCTACAAAAATGAGGAAGTGACGCGAAGTCCATTATCTACATAAAACAAGAAAAACATCAATATGAGTTTACTTCTATCAAACAATATCTTTACACCTGCAGATTCAGTTTCACAATCAATTAAGGGGCAAAGCAAAATATCCAACTTTAAATTTTGGAGTCTTCAGTTTTGGCCCCAGAGTTCTTACTCGATTCTACTGAATCTAAACAAGTTACTAGGTTCAAAATGAGAAAAGTTTCCAGCAAAGGTAATAAGTCATTCAAAGATTTCTACCTCCATGATATCAGTTCCCAACATCTAAGAAATTTTTTTTGAAAAAAACAACATTAAGACAAAATGACATCTCCCAAAGTGAATATTCCCAGAAAGTATGAGCAGAGAACAATTACTAGCTCCACTAACTCTAACCTAAAGTTCCTTCCAAAAGGAGTTAACTCCTGTTATCCCAATTCCGGCATGGAATGAGTTGAAGTTGCTGCAATCATCTGAACTTCATTATTTTAGTCAGTGAAGGAATGGAGTAGAACAGGCCTTGGAATTTCTTTCATTATCCTTTACATGAACAAAAGCCTTACTCGAAAATATTAAGATATCATCGAATAAACTAATTAAAATGCATTTGTTCTCGATGTTCATGCTCTTAATTATCAAAATAATTAGAAGAAGAACACTACCATACCTTCAACAGTTCATCTTTCCCAGAACCTGATAACACCCGCACCTTTTTCCTTGTCCTCTCTTGCAACAGAGGCTTCACAACCTGCTACGCATTAAAAGTTAAACACAAGTTGTTCTGAAAATATCTAAAAGAATATCAACAGTGTAGAAGAAAACATAAGCATATAGGCTGCGACAATTTCTAGAGAAGAAACAGAGTAGGAAAGCAAATATGAAGATTAAACCACAAGGACACAAAAATGAGGAGGCCTACCTTCCAACATGCGGAAAATATGTATGGAACATTTACGATGTAATATGTGTTTGTCTTCTCTGGGTAATTAAGATCATCTATGGTCGATATGATTGTCAACAACTACAAAACAGAAAACATGTGAGTCTGTACTAAATGGTGTAAAGTTAAATTAAATGATTATACTCTTAGATGTTTGCAAGTGGAATTTCAGTATTTTTAATCATTCTTCAACTACCTGGATGATCCTCTGGGTACAATAATTACAAATTTTAAAGACAATTTTCTTTACAGAATTTATTATGTTAAGTTGTTTCCAGATACAAAATTCTTCATAGATCTGTAATCAGCAGTTCAGTGGAAGATCAATTTTGCATACAGTTGTTAAAATGTAAGATGAATTCTACTAGGTAAGGACCCAATTGGGATAAGAATAGCTGAACTAGAAATGTTCTCTTTCCAAAGCATTATCAATGTTAATGCTAACTCAAAAGACAGAAATATTTTGTGCAACACTATTATGATAGGAAATGAAAAGGGTTCAGAATATTAATAATGTCCAAAAAGGGTTTCGTGTTTAAGAGGGAAGAAATAAAAAAGGATTACCTTTACTTGGCTCAATGCTGAAAGCTTCAAACCAGTCATATCTAGAACCTTCACACAGGTGGTTATGGGCCGTCCATATTTTCTCGATGCAGAGGGCTGGAAGAAAGTATACAGGTCAAAATCATGAGTGACCCAAGAGAGATACTCCAAATATTCAACCCTCTATCACTCACCAAAATTACACGATCACGATATTCATTGATTTGAATATGCGATTGCACATAGTAGTGCACCTGTGGAACAGAGAAAAAGCAACGAAATATCACCCAGAATATTCTTTATATTAAAATGTATAAAGACTGAAGTATTCTTATATGGATATAATGAAATAATGATTGAGTTCGAATACCACTGAGATTAAATGGCAAAAATTTGAAAATTGCAATTAAAGATTTCATTTCAATTGAGGCATTTATCATAATACTTACTGATGCTTTGTCAAATGTGCTAAGCCCTACCCCAATAGCGAAGACAGGCAGTCCCTAGAGAAGATAGAGAAACAATCATTTAGGTATATACACTGGGTTGATGTTCGATTTACATCATATTTGAAAATGATATCCAATTACACTTGGGCTCCATTTGGAATAACTTTTGGTTTTGGCCTTTACGTTTCTTAAGTACTTTTGCAATTAAATGGATAAAATGACTGCTTTTGGCAAAAGGTAAAGTTAAAATCTGTTTTTGATGAGTTTAATAGAAATAATTTTGGGAAATAATTTTGGTCTTTAATAGAAATTTATATTTGAAATCTCAAAAGTTATTTCTAACAAGTACATAGCTTTTATTTTTTTGAAGTGAACACTTTCTACAGTTATTTCTACCTAATAATAGATTACTTTTAACTAAAAATACTTTTAGTGAATAGTTATTTTAACAGTACTTTTAAAACAAACAACACGAGCTACAGTCACCTTATGCCCACTATAAACTATCACAGTGGATATTGGCAATTCATGGTGCAATCCAGAGAGCAGAATTAGTATAATCATAAAAAAAAAATGTAAAATCAAGATTAAGTTTGAAGATAAATAACTACCTCTCTTGAGTACCCTGACATTCCTATGAGCTGTGAATCACGTACTGCTCTATATAACTCAGTAGGAACTATGGGTTTCTGTACAAGAGAAACAACAGAAGAATCAGAAATTCAACATTGCACTGATCTAAAACAACTATTCAACCGAGTTAAAGCAGGAGAACACTATCAAAACATTATTATGAATAATCATATGGTTGTGCTTGACATAAGTGGAGCATGCACATGCACGTCATACATGTGAGAATAGAAGAAGGCAAGAGAAAGGGAGTGACATCAACTTCATCATAAGCACAGAACTATCACGTTGCATTTGATCAACAAAAAAAAAAGTGGTCCTCAGGAATCATCATTGTCATTAATGAGTCTACCTCGAGACCTACAGCAACTACTAGCACTTCCTAACCAGCTGTACTGAATGCAAAAGTTGAAACAATATGCGAAACATCAAGTAGTAATGTGTGGTTTCACTTATTGTCAAAGTATAGTTTCTGAAACCAGTCGTTATTGAAACAAAGACATCAGGGTGATACCACTGGTTACAAACACAGACCAGGGGAAGAAATTTATCTTTGGCATAAATCAGAGGGAAGACAGATGGAACAACTAAGCAAAACTTAAAGCTCACCTCTAAAATATTGTCAATCTCATTCTGCACCCTCCATTGCAAAGAGTCCACCAACTGCAACAACAAAAAGAACAATCTCAATCGTGTGAAAAATTGGACTGATACCAAAAATATTCCATAAAAATAATTTGACAGACAATTAGGAGAACCGCTGCTGACCATTTTATGGGCTTTGGATACATTCAGCTCCCTTGCTTTCAGGAAACGCACCAAAGTTTCGGCAAGATAACCCTGATGAACATTCTGCATGACAACATAGAAGCCTTTAGACTTTGGATCCCAACAATTAATTCACCATAAATGAAAGGACTAACAGTAGTAATATTTTGTTTTTAGACATTACTGACTAGTAATAAATAACACTATTCACCGAAACATCCAATTAAAGCCAAGCTTCAGTTAATTACTTCATAGATTAGATTTACTGTCAGCTTTCCTCAAATAGCATACAAGAAAGTGTAACGGCATCAATTAAGCATACGAAGCAGAAGAAGACACCGACAGATTCCTCATCTAGCTCCAAACCGCGACAAATTTATCAAATATCTCAAGCTTATTTAGATATTACATCACACGAAAAGAGATACTCCGTATCACCCGACAAAACATGCAATCATCTTCGCTTTTTCAAATATTGCAAGCTTATTTGCATACCACATCACATGAAAGGAGAGATCTCCTATCAAGCAACAAAATGTACAATTATCTTCAATTTATCAAATATCTCAAACTTATTTTGACCTTACATGACATGAAATGAGTTACTTTGTACCAGCCAACAAAAATATGCAATCATCTTTTCATGACAAGCTGGTGCAGGGGCAACATCCGATTCGTCGAAAACAATCATCACTGCCATTCACTATAGTATCCAAAGTTGGCAAAGCAATCACTTTCATACTCTGATTCCAACAGTTCTATTGGGAATGGAGGGTCGGGATAATGGTCATAGGAAAAAAGATCATTTTAACACCATTAAAAGGTAATCTCTACTTAGCTCCAGAGTCAGTATAGCCAACCAAAAAAAGTTCAGTAATTTGTGGGATTCATTCATTTCAAGTTTCTACCCGATCTCTACTATCAGATTACTCAAGCTCATCATTCTACACACCAAGAAACCGGATAGTCCCCACCCATTCCTAAAATCATCAAAGCCAAATCAAACACTGCAATTAAATTCTTATCGTCTACAGCCGTGAAATGGGTCGACCACCATAACTCGAAACAGCAAAAGGAATAGACAAAAATCCCACAAATTAAGCCGTTGGCCCAAGGGTTGATTATAAGCAATTGAAGTGAAGATTTGTTCATCCATTTGAAGAATAGATCAGACAAAGTGGGGTGCTTTTTTGGTTTTATAAAAATTGAGAAACAAATTAGAGAGAGTGAATTGCTCACCTGAAATGTTT